ATAGGGAAATTTCAAACACAGTAACTGGGCTGCATTGACTTACATTTTCCAACCTCTACACAGCACTGAAACGGGACAAAAATCTATGTTTCCAAGCCAGAGGCAGTGACGCACATCTGTAATCCCAGCACGTGGTAGGCTGAGGAAGGAGGAATGTGAGGTCAGCCTGGGCTACAGAGTGAGTTCAAGGCCAGCCTGATCTGCATAGAGAGGCCTTGGCTCAACAGCACAAGGAACACAAAGCAGTGTTTCCTGATGCAATAGAACGTCACCGCTGAGGAATCTGTGTCAAGAATGATGAGCTTCAATGAAATGAAATCATTTGGTCTCTTCCAATTCTTAGGATAAATTTGGGTAAAGTACACATTTTTGATAACATGAAGTAGAAATAGCAAGACAAATTCAGAATGGAGAACATCTTACCCATCAATTATTTGCTATTTTCATTAACAATGATATTGAGGGGAAAAGTATATAGTATATGCAACAAGTTATTCTGGATTGGACCCTTGGAGAAAAGGCATTAGTGAAATAACTGGTGAAATCTGAACTTCACCAATAAGTTCACCAACAATAGTGGGACCAATGTTAATTTCTTGGTTTTGATCATTGTTCTACAATTCATTAAGATGTTAATACTAGAGGAAGTCAACTATTACTTAGGCAACATTAATAGTTCCAAAATTATTTAGAATTATAAAGTGAAAAATTAAGGACTAGTACAAAATTCCAAGGTACATAGATTCATTGTTTTCTGATTTGAACCTGCCAAATAAAGAGAAATATTATTTAGATAATGTGGGAAATTCAAACATGAATCTAGTATTAGATGTGCTTAATTTTACTAGATTATGATAATGATATTGTGTTTACAAAAGAAAATCTCATTATTTGAAAAAGAATAGAGAGTAATGTAGTGCTGTAATGTCATGATGCTAAGAATTTGACTTAATCCTCCAAAAACTAAGCATTTGCTGACACTGGTTGAACCCAAGAGCGGACACATATGTGTTCATTAAAGCCCTTCTCCATGCTCAAGTCTGCAAACTGCAGCCGACGATGACTGAATGTTTCATGATTCTTGCCTGGCTGCACAGCTGGGACACGGCTCTGAGCCATCCCTGTCTTTGCTCGGACCTTCACCTCATTCTGTGTTACTTGGTACAATCACTGCCTCCTGCGTTGCTTTTGCAAAGTCTGCCTGAGCAGTGCCTGTTTACACTGAGGCCGGCAGGAGATTTCACAAGATTCAAACTGCAGTACACTTATGGCTGCTCTCTGTCTGTCTGTCTATCATCCATCTATCTCTGTCTGTCTATCTATCTATATTTTTATAACAACCATTGTTAATTCCCATCATTTTGTTTTGAAACCCCATATCATTTTTATTGTTTTTGCTTTGTTTTGTTTTTGTCTTCATTGTTGGCATTTTGCTTTTTTTTTATTATTCTCTTTAAAATAAAAAGGAGATTTAAACTGCGCTTGGAACTAAAGTCCAAATGCTATAGGATTTCTTTTATGTTCAGTAGATTTCTGGATTCTAATACAACAGAAAAAAAGTCAAATGCATAGCTGTATTTTGTCCACAATTAATATTTTCAAATTAATACTTTAATTTATGCAATCACATAGTAATTAAAGAAAAGTTTAGTTTCTTTAACATCTACATATTTAGTAACTTATTTTTAAAAATAAGTATCAAAATGAAGCATAGCAGTGCAGTTAAAAGCAGAATTTAGAATGAGACATTTTCACTAGGTGGCTGAATTTCTTATGCCTTTCTCTAAGCTTCAGTTCCCTTATCCTTATCAGAGTTAAGAGGGAAATAACAGTGTTTGGAATTCTGAGAAATAACAGAAATATGACATGTAAAATACTTGTCAAAATGTCTGATGCAAGATAACTATTTAATCAAGCTAAATAATAATGTTGCCATAATAATTTTTCTATTCACCACTTGGAGAAGATGTTAGTAATGATCACATTAGAATATAAAATCTAATTCAGTTCAATTTTTAAAAATAATGTATCTATCTTCACTTACTAGCCATTTCTATGGGAAACTATTTTCAAAGTTAACTCAAAGTTGACCCGTGATTCAGGACGATTTTAGAGACTGAGAGAGAATATGTTGTTCCCCTACAACCTAACGGAGACCAAAGTAGTCCGTGGTTTGAGAAAAGCATTCTCCATTTTATCATATTGATTGGTGGAATATTTGTTCTACTCTTTCTTGCACCAAAAAAGGATACAAGTAAATCTCAGTGGTTGAGGGTTGCTCATGATTTTAATATAAACATGGAAGAGTAAGTAATAACATATCAGTGATTGTAACAGTCCTTAAAAACATTTAAAGTAAGAGAATGTTTCAGTTGGTTATGACTTCAGTTGACCAAACTTTTACCTTTCATAACTTATCTTTTTGCCCAAGATTTGAATCTCAATGGAATAAATGCAATATTTGTTTTGGGGCGTGGTTTGTATACAGAGTGTAGAAACAAAAGGATCAGGGGGGAAAAAGGTTAAGCTAAGAAAATGGCACAATATTAAGGGGTAGAAGATTTAGCAATTAGGATGCACATCCCAGCAATGAAATGTGTTACAGCACAAAATTTTTCTGGGGGAAGTGAAGTCTTCCAACCACTTCACAGCTGTCGCTAAATAAAACAATCAAAAATGGCATTAAGAAAACAGTCTCTCAGGAGAAAGAGAGAGGCAAGGAGGCTGGTTGGATAATCTAATAGAGCTGTCTCATCTTGAAGTTTCTGTGATTCAAAAGTTCTCTGAGATTTTCAGGCAGTTTGATCACTCACTTGGGAGATTTTCATTTCATCTCTACGGCATAGCTAATAGGGGAACAGCAATGATCACGCAAGCTATGCCTGGCTGGTTCTCTAGGGCTTGGGTTTCTTGCACCCAGCTAACTGCAGCAGTAACACAAACTCCAAGGAAACCAACAATTACTAAGTGATCCCTATGCAGAATTTCCATCAGACATCTAAGTCTCATACCAGCATTGTTAATGTAGAATTATTGAAATTTAAATCAGACATGTTTATCCAACACTGTGATGAGGTAAAGTGATTTGAGACTGCTTATAATGATTAAGGCAGCAGATCATAGGTTATTATTAGAATGGAAAAGAACTATGAAATTAATGGGAGGAAAACCAAACACAGGTTCTTATTATCGGGGGAAAGAAAAAAATTATTTCATGCAGTTAATGTCCTAAAATAATTATAGTATTCTCTTGTTTCCACACACTAATTGCTTTTATCACCAATAGTAGGCAGAGCCATGACATCATGCCTCAGAGCCAAATGACTTGCCAGGAAAATGAAGTCCTTCATCATTTCCAAGACTTTATCTTTTAGACATGAAACAATTAATCACTAATTAAATGCCAACAAGAACTTATAATAGGAATAAAAGAGCTACAATGAAGTATATTTAAATTAATATTTTAGAGCATTTCTACAGAAAAGTTCTAATACTTGCATGAAAACATCATTCCAGGGAACGTTTTTTCTCTCAAGACTTACAGAAACTGATAGTTTAATAGTGACAGTTATTTACTATGGCATCTGTTGATGTTTTCAGAACTGTCTATCCATTACATAAAGTAAACTGCTGAGATTCTACTAAACATAATTACTTACATTTATGTACCATAATGTGTATAACTTATCATGGGCATTTGTTAGTGCTTTTATGTTTTCAACAGTTCACATATCTTTAATAGTATTTTTTAGATATGCTTTATTTCCAACTAGAAAAATAGCCTCTTTTAGACTTGGGATCTCATTTATCCATATAGCATATTGTGTGACATACAACAAACATTTCAAAATGTGTGTTGCATGAAAGAAAACATGAAAAAAGTCAGACAAACCAAAATAAAATATGATGTTTAATCAATGCTATCCCTACACAATGTAGTTTAGAAGCCATTTTAAAATGTATGCATTTTTAAAAAGCTTGATCAAGTCTCAGCAATCAATATTCCCTTTCATGTTATAATGTATATAACAAGTTTTACTTATTTACTTCAACTACTTTTATATGGGTTTTAAATAGTTGATGGTGCTAATTAATTGACTCTCTTACATTTAAAATATCTTGAATTTCAAATAAAGGTTTCCACCATATTACATTTATCATTTTGCAGATCAACTATTGTATGCTAGAGGAGATATCACTCTCACGAAGTGCACATTGTATTGGAGACACAATTTTTAAAGGTGGTGGCAAAGAAACAGTAGGGCAGCATCTTGTCAGGCACTTATCAGCTCTCCAGGGAATAATAAAACTGTACGGTGGGACATAGATTATATATTGGGTGCCAAGAAATGCTGATGAGCAAATACGAGAATGAAGTGAGCAAATGAAGCCATAAAAATAGCTATTAGAGTAGGTTTTCGGGAGAAAGACAGTGAATGCAAAGACTCTGAGATAAGTGCATCCTTGAAGTGAGCAGCAGCAGGCAGTTCAGTCTGACAGTCAGGGAACTGGATGGTAAGTGTCAAGAATTCAGCCAGGGAACTAGGAAAGAGTCTGCTCATGTAGGCCTTATATATGGAAGAAGGAAGTACTGAATATGAAGATAGGAAGGGGCTCTCTGCCACCAAAATGTGTGAACACTTCACGTACGCATACACATCAGGGCCCACAGAGGCAGTACTGGTTTAAACTGTACATTTCCCATCTGTCTAGACCATCGATTTCTTTCTGGTAAACACGGACATCTGTGATAAACCTATAAATGAATTACAAAGCAGGACATTACTGAAATCTGACCACACAATCAATATTAATGTCTATTGCAGTTTTAAAAACAAGAAAAAGGGAGATAAAATAAATAACAAAAGGTAGCACAACCTGGTTAATGCTAGCAATTTTTAATATAGATTTTTGAAGAATTAACTGCTGGAATTGTTTAAAGTTTTAAGCTTATCCACAGCTGAATTAATAATTATGTATGTTTATTTTTATTTTTTTAGGACTGAATAAAACAACACATATTGAAAAAGCTGAGAAGAATCTATTAAGGAGAAAAGAATACAGAAAAATTATTTACATAGAAACATGGCTTTAAAGGACATGCTTATATTCAATAAAGGTTAAACAAATTAAGCAACTCAACTTTCATTTCTGTTCTACTCTAGGTACTATAGATTCAGCTATCTTGCAGAATAATCATGCAGTGAATATACCAACCTCACATCTGTACAAGTTATAGTGCATAATGCACATATAACCATTGCTTATAAAGTTTTTACTGATAGCCTTTGAGGGTATATCTACTGAGATAGTTATGAAACGAAAAGATTGAAAAGTGAGCAAAAGAAATTTTAGCAACTTCATGTATGGAGAGATTTCTTTCCTTGAGATATTTTGCTTCAATTCCAACTCCCAAATGCCCTGGGGATCGCACCTTTATACTACCTACACATTGTATGTCACTCTGTGTATTTAAAAGCTTTCTAATAATGTATTGCACTACATGTGTCCCCTTAGAAGAGAGTTATGCCATCTTATGTCAAAAGCCACATAGGTAAAGAAAAATATTACTATGTTCAGTTTTTAAAACGTTTAAAAATATATAGTAGGCAATGATCTTGACAGAACTTTCAAATAAATGAAAACAAGATAGGAGAAAATGTAATGAAACCACAATCTAACCAACTGTTTAGTTAAGGAGAAATGCAGCAATTGCCTGGAGTGGCAAAAATGTAGGCAGTATAATCAGATGATTAATATACACATTTGAAAAGGCTACAAGTTGTGACTATTCTTCTGGGGCATGTAAACCCAATTTGGGAGTATAATATTGCAGGGCTAATGCATTTCCTCTGACTCAGCTGGAATGTAATGCACTGTTCTTTATAAGTGAGGAAGATGGCAGTTGACATCATCAGAGTCTGCAACTCAAGTCCTCCCACGCTTTGAACATTTTTCCCTTAGGCAGAAAAGGTTGAATTTACTAGATCAATAACAAGAGTTATATATTTCAATTTGAGAAAACTGTAACACGTATTACAAATAGTAGCAAATTCCTAAATGGTAAATTAGCATATATGTCTAAACCTATGTAATACCAGAATTCACTGAAGTAGGCAAAAACCTGTAAGAATAAAAGAGAAAACAAAATTAAATCTTGGATCAAATCATAAGTAATTTCTGAAAAATAAAGAGTAGGAAAAATCCAAAGATGAAGAAAACCACTCTGATCCAGGATTCCCTGTAAGGTGAAATTTAAGGGACGTGCATGAAACAGAACACAGGCACCCATGACTACCATGTTTTATCTGGAGACATCTTGTGGTGCGCTCCTATCAGCAGCTCTACAAGCACAGGCTTCAGAGTGCTTCCTTGATTTTCACTTGGAAAAGACCCTGTGCAGGGGAGAAAGCAAATGTGGCTACAGGTTGGATACTAATGAGGGCAAATGAGCTGGGAAAAAATTATACAACTACTGACTACCCAATATGCGATAGAAACTCTTCACCTGCCCAAGTCAGTGATAAGGAGTGTGAGTTCAAGGTACTGACCAACTGAGAAAGCTGGGCTTATAAATTATCCTCAGCAGCATCAGTTCCTGCATCTTAGAACAGGAATTACAGTAAGGCTTCCTTGTGTACCTTGCCTAGATTAATGAGGAAACTAAACATAATGCACTCTCCTATATGACATGCACAGGAAGTGCTCAGGAATTATTACTTAATATTATTATTCGCATTCACAGTGTCCATAATGAAGTTGTCATTGCTCTTTACCAGCTTTACTCACAGGCAATTTGACTAATGACCTGGGAAAGCAAATTATAGACACTTTTTATATTTCTCCACTCAGTTACAGAGAACCAAAATAAATGAAACACGGGTTTTAAAAGCCTACATTGACTCACCTTTTTATATGGTTCCCATAGAGATGAAGAAAGAGAAAGATCCCCCAGCTATAAAAATAAACACGCTAAAGGGCTGAGAATAGCACTTGTTTGGAGACTCTAGGTTCAGTCCCCTGTACCCTGAAAGGTAGGCAATGTGTTCTAAAGACAAGGACTAATGTCTTACAATGAAATGAGTCCTAAAAATATACCATTGCTCCCTATAAGTACATAGTCAACCCTTTAAAATTTTTGGTATAAAGTTTATGGACAAGTAGATACACTCTTCCCCTCTACTTCAAATAGAGAACGCATGAATTAAGGAAAACCTTAAACAAAGCCTTTCTGTGGTAGAAGCAGTTTAAACACAAGATCTGATAGTTTTTTCCTTTAAATATTACTTATTATCTGCCTTGTATGAATGTTTCTAGTCACTGCTTTTATAGACAATTCACTTTGCCTTCCAATTTGGCTATCCAGCTACCTAGCCTAGTCCTTTTCTCAGCGCTCTTGTAGATGAGGACATTCACTCCTTTTTCTGTCTTCTGAATGTTGAAAGAGAGTTCTAAGATCTCAGGCTTCATTGGAAACCTCTCCCTGGCCTTACCTATTTTACCAGTGAGGCCTGGAGGACCTAAGGAGTAATTTGTCGGGAGTAGCAAGCTTTTCTTCTCATCATTCCTCTGCTCTCTGTTGAGGTGGACACTGTTGGCAGCAGCTACCTAAAGCTGTCTGGGATATTATCTCTGGAAGAATAAGTTTGGGAGTAGAGATATGAAACTGTTATTACTGTAGTTTGAGCCTCCACCTCCAGCTACATCACTGTGGTCCAAGAAATTACTGTTATGTGTTTAGCTTTCAAGATCATTTTCCATACTAATAATGCTATAACTCTTTTCCTCAAAAGTCACCCAACAGTGGGCCTGCCATCAAAATATTTAAAGGACATTTAGTGATTCTTTGCATTCTTTAATTCTGGTGTCATTAAATGGCATAGTATTTAAAAAACATACCAAAAAATAGTTCTGACTTCATCTCTCTCACTTCTCATGTACACATCATAGTAAAGGTAGTTTGGTGATTGAATATGGTAGAGCCCTCAAATAGTTCATCCTTTCGTGATCATCTCTTGGCTAATGATTAGGATGCAAGGGCACTGGAGTTATATACAACTATGCTGGCAGGTTGAGATTAATTCCTAGCCACAATGCTTTTTTCGATATGTCTAATAGCAACCTTAGAGTAGTCTAGTAGGTACTTGGATCAGGTAGCATCATGGCTAAAAGAGATTGTAAAAAATTCTAATTTAATTTAAAGAAATTTTTTGCTATGATTGAGGTACAAAATGGTTATATTTTTCATTTCTCCATGGGGAGTTGGTACATGTACATAACACATCTTAATTCTTTTTTCATCACCTTCACCTGCCTTCCTTCCCCTCTGCTCCATCTCTTGATCCCCTCCCTGTTGGAAAAGATCTGTCTTATCCACCTGCACCTCTAGTTGTGTTGCTATTGTCTTAGGTCATGAAGATGATGATCTCTGTGTTGAACACACTGTCCCATGATCAAAGTTCATCCTACACAGGGTAGATACAATGAATATGTGTAAATTATATTAAAATAGCTCCTTTGTGCATCTGATGCTCCATATGAAAGGACTGGATGAATATAAATGGTGATTGGAGAAAAGTGAATTTATAGGTATTCGAATGGGACACAAAGCTTTTGAGAAAGACAGAGGAAGCAACAACTTCAACACCTGGGGGTGAGGGGAGAATGTAAAATCCAGGAGGGATAGAGCAGGGAGTGTTCCCAGTGATCATCCACCCTTCAAAGCCACCCCTGGAGCTTTCCTTCCAAGGAAAACATCCCAGTGATGCTCTCCCAAATGACAGAAATTTAAGTGAATTAAATGGTTTAAATTTAAATAACTTTAATGTCTTCAGTCCCCCCCAAATGGTAGTGACCGGGACTGGATAGCCAATCTCTGTCACTGTCAAGGAGTCAACCAGAGCAGGCCCAGGTTCTTAGCTCACGCATAAATGCCCGTCACCACCTTTAAATGTCCTCCTCTTCCCATTACTGCTGTTCTCACTGGCTCATCCGTGGGATGGTGGATAGCACCTGGCAGTTAGCATTTGCACCAATATTATGGATCAGGTTGATTGTTCTCAGCTAGTCTTCCCAAATATATACAGACTTTTTGTGCTAGTACTATGTTGTTTTTATCACTATAGCTGTGTAGTATAACTTGAAGTCCGGAATTGTGAGGCTTCCTGCTTTGCTCTTGCTGCCTATAGTTGCTTTTTCTTCTCTGGGTCTCTTCTGTTTCTAAATGAGTTTTAGGTGTATTTTCTCTAATTCTGTGAGGAATACTCCTGGTATATTAGTTGGGATTGTATCAAATCTGTATATCAGTTTTGGTAATATTGGTGTTTTGATTATATTGGTTCTGCCTATCCAGGAATAAGAGGTATCTTTCAGTTTTCTGATGTGCTCTTCAATCTCCCGTTTGGGCCCACTCTACTTTTCAATGTAGAAATCATTCATATTTTTGGTCATGTTAATTTCTAATATTTAATTTTTCTTGATTCTCTTGTGAATGATATTATCTTCCTAATTTCTTTTTCAGTGAGTTCATTATTGGTGTACAAGAACACTGTTGATTTTTTGGGTTGCTTTTGTACCCTGCTTTACTACTGAATTTAGTTATTGATTCTGGGAGACTTAGTGGAAGTTTGTGGGTCTGGTCTCATGTTGAGAGAATCATGTCACTTGCAAATAATAATGATTTGACTTCTTTTTCTATACATATCTTTTTATTTCCTTTTCTTGCTGGATTGCTTCTGCTAATGTTGCAAGTACTAATTAAACAGGAATGGTGATAGTGGACATTCCTGTCTTGTTTCTAATTTTGGAGAGAAAGTTTTCAGGTTGCCCCTCATTTAATGCATAAGTTAAGTACATCATTATAGACTGTTGTAGCAGTACAATTCATAATTCAAAACTTAGAAGTAGTCTATATGTCCATCAGCAGATGAATGGATATAGAAAATATAGTATTTATACACAAAGGAGTACTACTATCATCAAGAAGAAAAAACTGGAGTGATCAGGAAAAATGGATGTAGCTTGAGGTCATAATATTAAGTGAAATAAATCAATGCACACAAGTTTCAGTATTGCATGACTTTTCCCATATAAAAACTAAAAATATAAATAAAGAAAAAATAAAAGGTAAACAA